AGTCTTATGCAAACATAAGCTTGGTAAATTCAGGGACCTTGATGTATCTATTTATTGGCTATAAAGAGACAATAGTGGTAAAATGGTTAACATTTTTCCTGGAATAGAAGTAATTATTATTTAAAATTAGTGTACTTTTAGGTAATAATATCCATAATATAGAACAAGCATTAAGATAAGGATTAAAGAGAAATTATTTTGACCTAAAAAAAATATTTTTAGGTTAACAACTTTAGTTTGCATGAGGCTTTACTTTTAAGTCAAATTGATACCAAGTAAATCATTTTTAAGGAATATAGGTTTATATAGACTATGTATACATAAAATGGACATTTCAAAACCCTTTGAGAATAAACCAAAACCAAAAGGATACATAGCAGATAGGACTTTTACATAACTAGATACCTACAGACATAGTTCAGTAGATTTCAAAATTGATTAGGGTACCCACCTTAAAAGGCCTTTGAATGCAAATTTGTACCTGTGTATTTTAATTTGGCATGCCAAAAATAAAACCAATAGTTTTGTGCACAATAAAAAGAATGAAAAAGGAAAAATTTGAAGTGGCCACATTTTAAAATTGTCTTCACACAAATGATATATGATGACAATAGACATATATGATATAATTATGTGAGATCTCAACACATTGAAACATGGAAACACATGACATAATTTTAAGCAACATAAAAACGATAGTCAGACATATATGACACAATTACATGAAACTAGATGCACCTAAAATATGATGAACTTTGTAAGATCTTCTGAAAGCAGGCATAGCTGAAGTCATGAAGAAAGTAGCAGTTTGGCTTTAGAAGAGAGTGCTGTGTAGTATTATTTTACTAAAAGAACATGGAATCTGAGTTAAGCATAAAAGACAATTAATTAATATAACCTATGTATACATTGACTTGTAGGGTCTTAGGTGAACTTAATAAGCTAAAACTCAAAGGCCGGATTCTCAGAAAACAGAAAACCTGACTAGCGGCAAAATGTCCAAGTACTTTTAGCCCATGGGGGACATTATCATTCAAACCACCACAGTCACCAAGTGGAACAGTAACCTTGTACTATAGACGTAGGCAATTATATATATATATATATATATATGCAACAAACAGCTGAATGAAACAAAGCTAACAGAGGAATAGAACTGGAAGGGACAGGAAGAACAACTGAAGCTCAGGTGTTAGGAATCAAACCAGGTCCTTTGGAAGAGCTCTTAACCACTAAGCCATTTCTCCAGCTGGAATTAGAGAGGAAAAATCTCCAGATGACCATACAGCTCATAAAAGAGTCACAGTAGGGAAGGTAAACAGAGCCTTTGATTTTGGCCAAGCCTGTTTTTTGGCTTTTTGAAGGAGGGTTAGACTGGCTTGCCTGTGCAAGTTACAGCTTGTAACTGCGTGTTAGTTAGCAAAGGCAGAGGAGTTTTTTAAGAGAACAAAGGCTGTAGGGTCCAGGAAACGGTGAAGCTGCACCCCCCGTGGCAGCTCTACTTTTGAGGTGGTAGGTACAATTGATTTTCTAAGATGATGTATCCCAAATAAGTGTAAGGCACATGTTTTTGAATCTTTTTCTAGGAAATATAAAGTCCATATTTTGTTAAAATAGTCGTTAATTTAGTAAGCACAACTTCTAAAAGTTGAATAGAAGGGTGACTAAAGGGAATATCATCAATACAATGAATGAGAGCAGCAGGGAATTCCTTAAGTATTGGACTAATCACCTTATGTAGATAAAATTGGCATATAGTAGGACTATTTTTCATTTCTGGTGGTAGAACTTTCCATTGATAACTCTGCATGGGAAGAGAGTGATTGTTGACATGGATAGTGAAATCAAAACACTCTCTATCCTTAGGTAAAGGAATAAAAAATAAACAGTCTCTTGTATCAATTATTATAGTAGCATGTCTGCAGACACAGCTGCAGGAGAGGGAAGGCCAGGCTGCAGTGATCCCATCTTTTTTATAGTGGCATTAAGTTTCCTTAAGTCTTGTAAAAATCTCCATTTTCCATGAGTTTTCTTTTGTATTACAAATATAGGCGTGTTCCAGGGACTGTTAGAGGGCTCTAAGTGCCCTTTATCTGATTGTTCTGCATAGGACCCTGTAAATGAGGTAATTCATTACTAGAAATAGACCGTGGTAGGGGATGGTAAGACTGGAGTGAGGAAATAATTATGCCTACACCCGGGGGGGGGGCGCTTTTTGTGGGCCAATCCTCATGTCTAATAATTGATTGATCAGCCCCTGTATCTAACAGACCCCTTATAGCAATTCCCTGTACTATTAGGGTCATTGTAGATTTAAGGTCAGATGTTACAGGGCAAGTCCACAATGGCTGGGGAGGGGGTTACTTCCACTGAGGCTGTTGACCCTCTTGGTTGCAGGGCTGAGGGCTGCCCCATCTCTCGTTTAAAGTTTTGTTATTTTTGTTGAAGTTAGAACAGCAATCTCTAGCCCAATGGAAATCTTTTTGACATTTAGGGCATTTTTTATTTGGTTTGGGTCTCAAGCCTGACCATGAGGGATCAGGGGCAATATATGAAAGGGCATTGTCTGGCAAAGTGATCCATTTTTCCACATTTAAAGCATGGATCTTTCATTTGGGCAGTGAAAGCTTCTACTAACGCTGTTGCCATCATGCTAGCCTGTGCCTATGTCCTGAGTAGCTGTCACTCTGGAAGAAAAATCTTGACTTTTTATTGGAGTAATTTCTGCTTTACATTCTTGATGCAAGCCATCATAAGTAAGTTGTTTTATTAAAATCTGGGTGGCTTCTACAGAAGGAACCTTAGCCTCTACTGTTTGCCAAACCCTAGCTAGGAAATCAGCCCATTGCTCCTGTGGCTTTTGTTTGAGATCAGCTAAGCTAGCTCATGTTGTCTCACCATCCGGTGTGGATCTCCAGGCTCTCAAGGCACAGAGGCACACCTGATCAAAATATTGAGCCAGTAAAACCTTTTGTGCCTCTTCATCAGCATACTGACCTTCACCCTTAAGCATGTCAGCTGTCACATCAACATTAGCTTGAGCGTTTCTTGCTGCCTGTGCAGTGCACTCATCATAGTATTTAGACTTAGGAGCCATTGTCCCAGGGACAGGGCAGCCTGGGCGAGGTGTTTAAAGTCCCAAGCAGTGACTAATTTACAGCTAAGCTGATCAAAGATGGCCATGGTAAAAGGACCATGCATACCATTTTCCATCACTGCCTTGCGTATTGCTTTCAGGGTTTCAAAGCCGAAAATGACTATGAGTTCTAAGTTCAGGGTTGTTAGCTGCTGCAGGTCCAGCTGGAATGTGAACTGGAAAGAACTGAGGGGATGGATATGGCAAGGGAGCCAGAGGTTCTCTAGAGAAAGTGTCTCCTGTGAGCAGATTTTGAAACATGGGAAGGAGAGATTCAGGGTCAGAAGCAGAGGGCGAGGTATAAGAAACATATGCCATGGGGAATGCTGAGGGAGAAAGAGACATGGGGAGAGAGCCTAAAGTGGGGGACAACTCCCCTTTTCTAATAGAATTAGAGACAGGTAGTTGTGTTCCCAGAGGCTATGCCACATCAGGAAGGAGCACTGGCAGCTTCACAGCACCCAGAGGAGGTGCCGGCAGCTGAGTAGCAGCCTGAGAAGGTTCCTGCTGATGGGCTGTTGTGGAGGGAGGACTGACAGGGGGAGGGAGCAGAGGGGGAGGTGGCTGGGCTGCAGAGGGGGGGGGGTTCCTCTTCTATTTGGAGACACTGGCAAAGAGCAGACCAGAGAGGGAAATAGAAGACAGGAACAGTCTTGCCCTGCCTTTGAAAATTCTTTACATTGTCTCCTACTCTTTTCCAAGATTGCAAGTCAATAGTTCCCGTAGCAGGAAACCAAGGATTACATTCTATAGTAATATCTAAAAAGGCTTAATCTGCATTTCTGTACATTTAATTCCTCTAGACTTTAGCATGCATTTAATAATACATTGGAAGTGAGACCGGTCTAGAGAAAGAGAATTACCCATATTCACAATTGCCCCTTACCTACAAACCAGCATGACAAGGGGATCCGATCAGCCGAAGTGGGGAGGATTGCTCTGTCCGCAGAGAAGCAGAGGTCCAAGAGGGACCCTATTCAGGCACCAGTTGTTGGGACTCAGGTTTGCTTTGCTCAGTGGAGAACCTACTGGGCTCGGGGCAGAGAGACTTGATCGGCGACAGAGTCTTGGACCCTGGGACCTGTGTCTTTTCAACAAGCTGATTTATTTTAGAATTCAGATGGTTTTTATACATCCCAAGGAACTAGCAGTCACATGTGATTTGACAGTCACATACAATGATTTAGGGTACAAAGAAACAGGACATTTAGTCTGTTAGTTGGTGCCAGAAGGATTCTTAAACTTTTACTCAAGGTTATCAGTGCCCATCAGTAATTTATTGGCCACAATGTTTTCTTTCTTAGAGCTAAAAGATGGTGAAGTTTTAGCTTTTAGCTCAGGAGTAAACCTTTAACCTGGACTAATCTCTTAGCTAAGGATAGTTAAGTTATTCATTCAGGAAAGGAGATGAGCTAAGGGTTGGTGACCAAGACACTTTCCCGCCAAGCAGGGAGCCTGCGCTTATGACGGGGCCACTGTCTCCTGCCAGTCTGGCAGTGTTCTTCAAGACAGGGATGATCAGAGCTACTGTTTCCAGCTCCCCTCCCTTTAGCAGAGAATGCAGCCTGGACTTAAAGGTTTTAGGCTCACCTCACCCTAGGGCCTGGCATCCTGGTTTCCTACACCATCCCTTACTTCTGTGTTGAGCAATACACTGATTTTACCATAACTGCTGTCAGAAGCTTCTGCGTCTCTTCCTTGCATGGGCGGTAATGTCTCCATTTCCTCTGCTGCCAGAGTGAACTTTATAAAATGCCAATCCAAGCATTCTCAATGGAGTTAAAGCCAGTGTTCATCGTTGGGTTTACGGAAGAGCTCTTTACTGCCTGTCTCCTACTCCAGGCCTGTGTTTATCAAAGACCTCACACTTCAGGGCCCCCATATTATCAGAATATATATGTGCCACACTTCAGCACCTCACTGCCCTATCCATGGTCCTCTCCCTGAAAGAGCCTTCCATCCTTTTTCCTCACCCTCGTATGCCAGCCAATGAGGCTGACATCCTTTATTCTCAAAGTCAGACTTGAGCAAGTTGGAGTCATTTCCCAAGGTAGTCAACCATACTGCTACTAGGGACTTTTATGTATTATTTATCACTCAGGGATTCCTCTTGAAATATCCTAACTACCAAAAGTAAATGGAACACTCTGGTTGTAGTGGCACACGCCTTTAATCCCAGCACTTGGGAGGCAGAGGCAGGTGGATCTTTGTGAGTTCGAGGTCAGCCTGGTCTACATAGTGAGTTCCAGGACAGCTGGGGCTACAGGGAAGCCCTGTCTCAAAAAAGACAAAAAAAAAAAAAAGTAAATGGAACTCATTCAACAACAATCCTTTATTTTGTATTCAGCAAGGATATATAAAAAGTACTAAAATCTAAATTAATACTACTATTTTTTTTCAAAAAGTTCACTCATTACTAAAGCAAGTACATTTTAGAGATTGGGTCAAAGGGTATGGGGCACTTACCAGAGGGACTGATGATCTGGGGATCCTCAGAACCCCCATGGGAGAAGGAGAGAACTGATTCCTGCTAGTTTTCCTCTGACCTCCACATGTGCACCATGGCACATATATACCTACACACAGACAGGGGTGAAGAGGAAGAGAAAGAAATATAAATAAATAATAAACAAATATGTAAAGTTCGGGTTACACTATGGATCTTATCCTGTATAGATGTCTGGAGAAGGAAGTCTGAACTTTCTTAATACTTCGTAATATACTACTTCTAGTATCTCATAATATACATGATGATTTGAAGCTATGCACACACGAGTGCACATGCTTAGGAACACACAAATACACGCACTTTCCTCCTGAATCTCCATGCACTCCGTGCAGTGGAGGAATGAGGGGAAACGGATGACCACGGATGGGCTCTGCAGACACTGTGGGTGTCATGTGAAGGAAGAACAGGTATTCAGGACTCTTCCTGTCTGTAGACAGGGACAAAAACTCAGAGACAGAAATCTCTGGTAGAATGAAAGTATGTCACTGCTCTCTCCTTCGAGCTTACAAACCCAGAGGCTTTGGACTTCTGTCTTACAGGGCTACATCAAATATTCTGCTGTCTTCTATGGTTATTATAACAACCAGAGAACCATTGGATGGCTGAGGTACAGGCTGCCCATGGCTTACTTTATGGTGGGGGTCAGCGTGTTTGGCTACAGCCTGATGATTGTCATCAGATCGTAAGTATAACTATCTTGTTTATGGGTTTTGGCCTATCTTTACTCAAACAACTCATTCCCCTGGCCCCTCTATGCTTCTTCACTTCCTTGTAGTACAGCTCAAGAGAAAACAAGCAAACTAGTATATCTAGTTAGGTACTTGTCTCATTGCAATGACAAAACATCTGACAAAAGTAACTTACACACATCACATCAGGGTGGTCCTGGGAGCAGGAGCTTGAGGCTTCTCATCACATTGCAGCTAAAGTCAACAAGCAGATACTGATGATTACTAGTGCTCAGCTCACTTTTTCCTTTTTATTCAGTCTAGCAGCCCATTCCATGGAATGGTGCCACCAACACTTAAGGTGGCTTTTTCTGACTCAAATCATCTAAATCTAGATAATTCCTTACAAGCATATCCAGAGGTTTGTCTCCTAGGTGATTCAAGAGCCTATCAAGTTGGCAGTCAATATTAGCCATCTCACCAAGCAAACACCAGATTATGAAATGTGATATAATAGACATAAGCCAGGCAATATGTGTAGTTCTGGGAAACCAAATAAAACACCTTTTCAATGATGCTGAGAGCAGCTAGATATACTGAAAGTCTGAAGTAAATTTTTAAATTGAAAATGGGCATATGCAAAGGCACAGGGGCAACAAATTAATTTAGAATTTTTATCTTATCAAAACTGTCAAAAGGTCATTGTAGCTTGAGAGGGAGAATGGGACCTAGTAAGATAAGACTGGAAATTTTCAAGGTGTCTCTGCTTTTCTCCAGGGCTCAGCCTCCTCAGGGAAAAAAAGTGTCAATCCTGGTACTTATAAAGATATAAACAATAAATCTATACCAAAAGGGTGTGGCTGTGGTTAACCATGACAGTCTCTCTGGCCCCAACTCTACCTGCTTCTGTGGGCAGAAATAACCTTTTAGTATGTCTATGACTCTCTGTGTGTGTGTAGTGCACATGTGTGTTCATATGAGTGTGCACATATGTGCAGGTACATCTGTGCACATGCATGTAGGAACCAGAGATTGATATTAGATGTATTCCTCAATCATTCTCCACCTTATTTTTTGAGGAAGGGTCTCTAATTGAACCTGAAGCTTACCAATTCAGTTAGGTTGGCTGGCTAGGGAGCTCCAAGGATCCACCTGTCTGCACCAGATACAGGCCACCATGCCTGGCTTGTTACCTGGGTGCTGGGGGCCTCAACTCAAGTCCTCACTTAACAGCTTATCCATGTCCCCAGCTTTGTCTGTTCCTCTTAATTGGTATTATTTGAAGAAAACATTGATCCAGTCTATGAATTCCCTTCCTGGAAATCAGAGGAGTCCAATACCAAAACTAGGGATAGGATGATAGGTCCTATCCCTGCACAAATCTGACCACCAGGGCCTATTCACCCTTCAGCAGTACACAAGGGACTGTTTCTCCCAAGGGATCTTCAAGTCAGGAGGAGAGCCCTTTTGAAGCCTAGACAAGTCTTGAAAGACTATGAGGAAGTCTGCTCTAACTTTCTGTTGCATTTCCTCAGGAGAAAGTGATGTTGCTCACAAGACCATGCCTAGACATTAATTATATCTGTCCACCCAGCTGTATCAGGCAAAGGGGAAAAACAAAGAGATAAGCTTGTCTTTATTTTAACGCTCCTGATACTGCCTTTTTCTAGCGCTATATCAGATCAGTATAGGGATATGGAATGTTTCTGTGAGGAACCAAAAAACCTAGGTCCTGTGGAACAGCAAGTCCCAAAAAGCCAACAGGCAAGCTAGACTCAGGGAGGAGCACCAAACCCTAATACTCCCTGATAGAATCCCTGATTAAAATTCTGTGATTCCGCAGGGCTGAGCACCAGGGAGCACAGAGAGGCTGAGGCCGGTAAGATAAAACAAGTGGCCAACAAGGAGAGGCCAGGGTACTTTTAGCCAAGCTTGCTGATGTATTAACCTGATTATTGAACCTGTATTCTGAGTTTTATATCAGAAAAATATGCTCTATCTAAGGAAATAAGTGACTGTGCCCCAAACTGACCTGAACCAAAGTTCCTATAGGGGTGATGCAGTAGAAATGAGGCAGGCTTAACAACAGTGACATATGTCCTCCAGAATGGCCAGCAATACCCAAGGGAGCACCAGTGAGGGAGAGAATGATAACTTCACGTTCAGCTTTAAGATGTTCACCAGCTGGGACTACCTGATCGGGAATTCAGAGACGGCAGACAACAAGCATGTCTCCATCACCACCAGCTTCAAGGTAGCAAGCCCAGGGCAGTTCTTACTTCCTGAGGGAACTCTGGGTCTGTCTGGGCACTGGGAAGCTTTCTCCCAGGTGGGCAACAGAAAATAAGATCCCCAAATAATCTGTGAGAAGATCTTTATCAGCAGCACAAGCCTTTAGAAAGGCTGCTTATGGAAGAATCTCAGTTCCTGGTGTCTGGTCCTGCCTCTTTCCTCATGAAACTTTCTGCTGGATTCATGGAAGGACTCATTTGGGACCCCTTTTATCAACCTTTTCTGGATTCTAGAATCACCTAAGGGGCTTTAAAAATCTCTTGTCCAGGGCCCTTGAGATTGCGATGTGATGGCCTAGCACACGGGGTTCTGACACTGTTTTTGCTTTTGTCTTTCTAGCTCCTCAGTAATAGAATACCCACCCAGGACGAGTAGACAACCCTTGTTTAAGTATGTGGGAATAAAAAGATCAACCTTATGTTTCTTACAATCCATGTTTCTTAACATTCATCATTGTTTTGTTCACAAAAGAAATCTGAAATGCGCCGAGGGGCTATGATTCAACCAAAATAAATAACCTAACTAGGCATCCTAGCAGTTGGAAGATGGAGGCAAGAGGATCATGAGTTTGAAGTCAGCCTAGACTACAAAACAAGACCCTGTCCAAACACATACACAAACAAACAAACATGAACCAGACAGTAAACGAATACAGGAAAAAAAAAAAACATGGCACTGAAGCAGGGCATTCCCCGTCACTATAAATACAACTATGAGCTTTTGAGACAGGGTCTCACTATGTAGCCCAGGTTAGCCATGAACTTATAATCTCCTGAGTGCTTGAATTAGAGGAGTGGTCCACTCTGCCTAGCTTCCACTCCAAATCCTGACTGGTTCAGTATTTCTCCTGTCTGATCTTTCAGACCATCTTTCCCTAGGACTGAGCACTTGTTTGCACTGCAACTGTGCTAAGCTATCTTTTCATTTTCCCTCTCATCTACCCTTACCTTCCCTGGAAGGAGACGTGGTCTTCTGCTCACAGACCAAAGCCCAAGACACCTGCCAACAAAGAGTTTGGGCTAAGCAAGCATTACGTGGGATTCCCAGAGTCCTGTTTGCCCGGGAGTGGATGGACAGGGAGCAAACTTGGTCTGTGCCCCTCTTGTCACAGCAGTGGGAGCCTGCATCTGAGGTCAGGGAAGGCCAGAGTGGCTATAACTCTTCCTCTAGACAAGAACTTACCCCTTAAGAATTTAGAACACCCAAGAAGGATAGATGATGTGAGAATTCTGTGAGCTAACAGATATTAACTGCCTGATGAGTTAGTTAAACCATGGAGAGAACACAGTAACTAGCAATTGGTAGAACAAGTCTCCTCCCTAGTACTCTGCTGTCTAGGAAACCTCTTTCCATCTTAGCTCTACTGCTTGCTATGTGTGTCCTCACAGAGTTACTGATGCAGGACACAAGCATAATAAACAAAAATCAATTGCATTTTATGCTAATAGAAAACAATTAAAATGATTTTCAAATTCTATTTACAATACTACCCAAACATAAATGTCTAGCAGTAAATTTAAATTGTGCCCCCCAAAATGTATGAGATACCATAAAAGAAAAAAAAAAAAACGGTGTTGAAAGAAATTAAGAAATCCTAAGGACAGGAACTGGCAAACAATGGCCTGGGGCCCAAATCCAGCCTGCTACACACTTTTGTAAATAAAATTTTACTGAAACAAAACCATGCTCATTCACTTACATATTGTCTACAGTTATTTTCATGCAGTAATGGCAGAAGTGAGTCATGGGAGAAACCACAATGGACTGCAGGCTAACAAAATCTACTATCTCAATTTATAAGATGTTTTGCCAACCCCTGTATTTAAAGGCTCAAGATTACATTTTTAATTAGAACCTATTTGACCCACTGATTTAAACCAACTCCAGACTCTGTACTGACATCTCTTTGAGCCTTTATATATGTAATGTGAGCAATAATAGTAACTACTTGGGGGCTGGAGATGGTTCAGCTGTTAAGAGTTATTGGCTGCTCTTCTAGAGGACCCAGGTTCCAGGTTGGGTTCCCAGCACCCACATGTCAGACAATGGCTCTAACTCCAGTTGCAGGGAATCCAAAGTCTTCTCCTGGCTTCTGTGGACATTGCACAACATGTGTAGACTTACATACATACAGGAAAAACACTCAAACACATAAAATAAAAACAAATTGAAAATATTTTAAAAATAAGAATAGTAACCTCTCAATCCCAGCACTTGGGAGGCAGAGGCAGGCGGATCTTTGTGAGTTT